GGGCGAGTTTGTTTCGGAGGCCGAAGACAAACTCCCAGCAGGTGAGGTTCGGCGACAAACAAGTACTGGCTGGTATAGTCTTTGAGGGGAAACAAGCTAACTCTGAAACGAGTTTGTTTCTGCGGCCAAAAGCAAACTCTGCTGGTAGAAGTTTGCTTGCTTCAGCGACCCCGCGGGAAGTGGCGAACCTGTTCGTTGGATTTTGTCTTCTTTGCAAAAACAAACTCGGTGAGGGTGGAGTTTGTTTTGCCTACAGAAACCAAAGTTTGAGGGCCGGAGGGGGGGCGTGTTGCTTTTCCTACGAAAAACAAACTCGGAAGGGGGGGGGGGGAAACATCGAAGGCTTGAGGGGGCTTGAGAAGGTCAAGGGGGCTTGTGAAGGGGGGCCCCGAAGAGGGCCTCAAGCTTCTCCAGCCCCCGTTAAAGCTTCGTTCAGAACTTTTTTTTAAAGCGGCGAAATGAGTTTGAAGCGTCTTCTTTGACAGACAAACAAACAAGAAGGATAAGCCACACGAACTCATTTCGTGTGCTAAAAGCGAAAACAAAGTCAAACACTTACAACCAAGAAGGAGAAGCCACACGAATTCGCTTTACGGGGTTAAAAGCGAAATAACATCTAACTGACCATTTCGAAAACTCCTTCGGCCAAGCGATTCAAGCGTCTGTCCCAAGTCCGACACTTACAACCAAGAAGGAGAAAAAAAGTCAAATTCTGACAAGCCAGAAGGGGAAGCCACAGAATTCGCTTTAGGTGATTCAAAACGAAGAGAAGTGAAATTTAACTGAAAGTTGCGACAACTTCCTCTTCTCAGAGCTCCAAGCCTTCAAGCCTCTTCTCAAGTCTCGACAAACGAAAAGGAGAAGCCACATGTATTCGCACCAGGGCGGCGAAAAGAAAGGAAACAAAATTAAATACTGACAAACAAAAAGGAAAACTCATGCGAATTCGCTTTAGGAAGACTTTGTGTTTCGAAGGTTCTTCCGGAAGCAAAAAATGAATTTTATTATCTTCTTTGACAAACAAGAAAGACTCAAATTTGCAGACGCATTAGCAACGCAACAGTAGCATAGCCACAAAGACGCTGGAACCTGTGTGCAACTGCGGCATCAGAGACTTCAATCAAGGCCGATTCGGGTCAGGAGGCTTAGGGTCGGTCGATGAAAGTCTGCGGGTGTTTTTGACGCTCGGAAACAACCCCACTCCTGTGGGGTTAGTTACAGTGGGTAGAGTTAGTCGCTTCTTCCGGCAACAAACCCACCCCTGTGGAGCTAGTTTGTCACTCCACAACTAACCTTTTTGAGGGAGTTAGTTTCTCCTAGCGGTAACAAACCCGGGGCTACGGAGTTAGTTTCTCACGCGGATATAAACCTCCTCCCGTGGAGATAGCTTCTCGCTTCGAAACTAAGCTTTCTGGGTAGAGTTAGTTTCTTCTCCCGGAAGCAAATCCACGCCTGTGGAGTTGGTCTCGCACTCCGCAACTAACCTTTCTTGAGGGAGTTAGTTTCTCCTACCAGAAACAAGCCCGGTGCTGCGCAGTTAGTTTCTCGCTCGGAAACGAACTCTGCTGCGGAAAGCTAGGTTCTCCTCACGCTAACAAATTTGAGTCGACTCTGACCCCGGATGCCGAAGCCCACAGCTACAGAGGACTGGACCACAAGTCCCAAATCCAGCAGGGTTCCTCTCGCAAGAGAGCATGACTTTCGGTGAAGACCTCACGACATCCGGTACGAATAAGTGGGTTTTGGGATACAAACGGCTTCAGGTCGGCACCTTCTTGCGTGACTACAGCTGCGAACCACCCCGTGCGTAGCCCCGACTTGCTGTGCTGCTGCACAAATCAGCCAACTCACAGTTGGAACTATTCATCTTGTCGGCTGTCCTTACAAGACGTGCGGTGCCTGCACTACGAGCCGAAGCGACAGTGCAATCGCAGGACAATCCTTACTGAGAGAGCTCTCCCGTTGCTATGTTTTTCATAGGCGCGCATTCCAGCTTTCGCTACGTGCAACAACAACTATAAAGATCAAGGTGGAGTCTGAGGGTCTGGGAAGTCTGATTTGCAGCAGAACCGCAGGCCACAGCCAGCTGCAGACGGTCTTCCACGAGAATGCAGGCGGCTCACTCGGGACCGCAAGCTCTGTGTCCTTGGCTTCACGTGTCATGGCTCACAAACTGTCACACGTCTGGGAGAAGCGACCCGAATCTATCCCTGTCGTCATCAATGCAACACTAAAGCTTTCATCATTCAAAAAGCTGGCTGAGCTTGCCTTATTTAACCCAAGAAATGTGTCAGCACTGGTGACCTTTTGAACACAAACGGAACCTGTTAAGACCATTCAGCCCTTCTAAAACCACATGAAACCAGAACACAGGGGTTCCCAAGCGGCCTGTTCGCGGAGGAATGCGAAAAGCTCGGGCATGGTTTCAGCAAAGCCCTTCCCACAGCGTGCCGGAGTCACCCGCGGTCAGTGTCTGGTTCATCGAAGCTTAAGGGTTCGGTGTAAGATATCCCTGCTCCCTTAGGTGAAAGTCTGTCCCTCAGCAATGTTGAAGCGAATCTGGGCCATAGTCCTTCAAATGAGAGCTCTAAGAAATAGTAGCCGACTCTAGCAGAGGCTGTCCAGCTTTAATTCTCCAAGTAAGTCTACACCAGAGCTCGCTCCACGCAGCCACTGCTGCTATGGCAGACCACACAGCATGCCCCTCCAACCCTCCACCTCGCATCAACCCCTAGATCCCTAAAACAACAAAAAGTGACCGTCAGACAACCATCGATCAACCGTCAACTCGTAACTCTCAGGCCCTAGACTCAAAACATTTGCTAGACCCCAACAATCCATATCTACTGTCTCCCAGGATTTACTAACTACGATAGTACTTGTATTACTCCTGCTAGGCTAAGACCACAAGTTCCTCCTCCGCCTCCACCTTGCGAATATAACCAGTAATACAAGAGATAGCATTGTTTCTGGTACAACTAGTACGGTCAGGGCTGTCCCGTGATCGCTATCCTTGGGTCAAGAGAAGGATTCATCTACTCGTCTAGAGCTGATGTAGCCAAAAACTCACGCCAAAAACGTGCAGGCAAGGTCTTTCGGGCCTGCTCGAAGCCTGGTGGCATGCTGTAGGGCACGAGGCAGGGGGAACAGCCTCGAGAAATTCTTGGGTTGGGATTACCCTATTAACTGCCGAGCTACATGATTATGGCTTCTTCTATTTCACATGAATGCGCAATGTGCCTGCTGAGGTGTGCTGATTTTTGCCTCAGCTTCCTTCTTGTCCTGGTGAATCGTAAGAGCTGTTGGGAGAGGAAATCATGTGCCCGGCATGCGGTCTGGTGTGCTTTTCACATTCACCACGAGGCTTGGGGTTCCTCTGCCGTCTTCCTAGGGACCGGCAGCTCAGTTTGACGAGTTTGTGTGCGCTGCCGGAATTAATTCCATGAAAAGGTCGTGGCCCGATACAAGAGGTCAGAACTCTGTAAGGTCAGGCGCGCGAACCTCACACGGAAGCCTAGAACCCAGACAACTTCTTAAGACCAATTAGACCAACAGCGGTGAAAGAAGGAGCTGATGTCTGGAGCCCAAGCGGCACATCCAAGGCACTTCCAGGCGTTCGCTGAGGTGGTACACTGGGGGCATGGCAAACAGATTGCACACCTCAGAAAATCTGCAAGATCGAAATGCAGAATGAAATCCCGAAGATGAAGAGGCTTCCTGTGGCCCGAAGTCCTGAAACTTGCAGCGGCTTTGGGTGCCTTTTTGCTCTGGGATATCTATGTCGCGTGTGTGCGTGCGTGCATGCGTGTGCTCGGGCGCACAGTCCTCGCACATCGACAAAGTGCGTCAGTTTCTTTTGAACAACCGTTGACAGCCTGCGAGGGACTCTCATGCGCAACTCGTGACCGTTGCAGGTTTGCATTCCGCAAGTTTGTGTTCGCTTCGACTGCTGTGCAGGAATCACTTGTCACACTTGGCCAAGTTTCTGATTCCGTTTTTCGCCCCCGCCCTCCCTGCGGAGGAGGCGCGATGATGACAATTAGTCGCCCGATGAGTGGACTCAACTGCTGGGTGGCCCAGGTGGGCGGATGGGGTAAATGCAGGAGGGCGGGTCCAATGGCCCACCCTCCCAACTACAGTGCATGTTCTTGCTGCCAAAACCGCAGCGTCAAGATATACTGATATTCGCTTTCATTTCATGACATGCTGTAAGTTGCATGGGCTGGCGGCCTGTTCCGTGATGCCAACCCTCGAAGCTAGCGGAACAGGTGCATGGATTCATAGACGCATGGATCTGCACCTGCAGCAAGAAGGTGGGCAGGACCCAATCCACCAAATAAGGTACAGTACAGTTGCATCAATCGGACTGCGCATGCAGGGAACCATTCATGCAGCCGGCGAGAACATGATGTTTAACAGCAACATTGCATTGGGCCTCCAGGCGCTGGTCGATCAACTTGAAAGCGCATGTGTGTGCCTGTGTGTGCCTGTGTGTGTGTGTGTGTCTGTGCGCGTACGTCTGCGACTGTGCGCGTTTGCGTGTGTGAATGTGTCAAGATGCATGTAGCTTTTGGAACCAGCCTTTTCCAGAAACTGCCGTGCGTCCCAAAACCCAGGCCCCAAAACCTCAGACCCTGAACCCCGATGAAGATCTCGAACAAGGCTTTTGCATATAGTCGAACGAAGTAGCAGCCCGAAAAGACTGTCTGAACCTGAGATCGGAGCTGCCTGCTGAGGCCGTTGCAAGAGCATCGGCATCTCGGGCGGCTGCCACTGCCTGCCGTCGAACGGCCTTACTTCCTTGCTGGGAGCCATCTAAAATCTAAACATTTCGGAGCTTCTGCGGACACTGCGGACCACAAGTAGGTTTGGCTCCCAATACAAGAATGTTGTCGGGCTATCAGGGCTGGCCGTAAAGCTCACGGTTCAGGAGCCTGGGCAAGTCTTCGGGCTGCGAGAATGCGTTTGGAGGGAGAGAGAAGGAGAAGGTGCTGATCAGGCAACTGCGTGTAACGAGCCCATCCAAACTTAAGGTCGACCATTCCGCTTGAACGGCTGCCAAGGGCGAGGCTTTGAACTCAGAAGCCCGGAGTCGACCTCCACCCATTCCGCTCGCCGACGTCCCTGCAGATCGAGGATGTCCGGTGTGTGCGCCCTCAGTGCTGCTGCGACGATGGTTGAAGGTTGGGTAGGACTGTTTCCAGAGCGATATTGACTTGAGTTCGCCATTGCTAAATTTGTGTCGGTGTCCAGCCGAGTTTAGTTGACAATTTCTGTTCTGGGTTCTGGGTTCCCGCTACTTGTATCTCGGGGTGTAGGACCTGGTTCGTGCCTGGGCGAGTCTTCGGGGAAGTGACTTCACATGAAGTTACTATTATTACTATTATGCTAAAATACCACGCGCCGTAGTGGCAAAGTTCAACGCGACCGACGAAGCTCCGCTGAGTCCGGCAGTTGGGGAGATGTGGAACTTGGTGAGGATGGATTTGAGCAGTCGGACTGCCGGGGTGCATCTTTGGGACGGGAGAGGAGGCTTAGCATCGGCCTTCACGTTCATCTTTCAAACTCGGCTGCCAAATATCACTCACCCCCAAGTCCACTTTGTAGCGAAAGATTGCCGAGAAGCTCGTCTGCTGAAGTTGGGCGGACGAAGCAAGGAGTGGCCAACGGGCGCCAGGAGACGCGTGCTGACAAGGGGGATGCCTCCAGGCAGAGCGACGACACGCATTGACTCACATGTTGCTATACTGCACTGAGATTTGGGCTCCTAGTGTCTGCACAAAGTGCATGATTGTCGCAGCAGTTGGTCCATGGACGTCATGGCCGTTTCAGCAAAATTTTTCGTGTTAGTACCGCACGTCACCGTCTACCGTGCCGGTGCGGCTACACACGGGCGCATCTATACTGCACCGAACACCGAACTGTCTGTGTCTGTCTGTCTGTCTGTCTGTCTGTGTCTGTGTCTGTGTCTGTGTCTGTGTCTGTGTCTGTGTCTGTGTCTGTGTCTGTGTCTGTGTCTGTGTCTGTGTCTGTGTCTGTGTCTGTGTCTGTGTCTCTGTCTCTGTCTGTGTCTGT